TTTGCCTCACCCAAGTGAGGATTAGAGGCATGCCCTTCCCCTCTACAATGCTCACCGGGTCCATTAGCTTTGAGTTTACCCCCCTTAATTCCCTAATCCCTGGAGAATATTACTATCGTGTGAGCAGCATAGTGTTGATCAGTTAGTGCCAATTTGATGGCGAGTACATGTGTAGCCTATTCTTCCGATCTTGTGATACCTCACTTCGGATAATGGGCTCAAGCTCTATCCAGGAAAATATACGAGGTGCTAGATCACTGTCGTTTCTTATAATTGAGTAACATTCCATTGTATACATATTACTGATCTTTGTAGCCAAGAATAATTGTTTCAAAATGATGATGTGATCCTTCTCATTTTTTCCTTTAAAAGCCTTTGTCTTCCTTTACCTTCCTAAATGTGCACATTACTTACTGTGGCACACATATTCCCATTGCATGCTCCATTCATGAGTAAATATTTTTATTTTAGAGAGGTCTTCTCTTTTTGTTATTTAGATTGGCATATATGGTGTCAGAAACAGGACCTAAAAATATCATTATTGAAACAAATTTGTGATTCTTGGAACTGGCGTGCGGCATTCACTCGAGCCCTTTGCACTCTCTCCTTTCACAGTGTGCCTTTTCTGGCCTGGTTAGTCTTCTTGCAGGCTGAGCCTCTCTCTTTATGGTAGATGTTTTTTGATATTGTTTGGGATCTGGTTTGGATAAGACCATCTTTATAAAGGCTCATGTATCCCTCCTAGGATGATAAAAGACTTTTGTCTTTTCTAGTAAGTCCCTTTCAGATAAGAAGCCGCATGTCTTTCTGAATTGAGTTCTCTGCTTTCTGCAGAATTTCCTACATTCTGTCCGTGAGACTTGGCTTTTCTGGTGAATTCACCTTTGGCACCTTTGTGCCTACTTTAATATTTTATTTGATCTACATGCCTAGGTTAAAATTTTTGTGACTACTCTTATCTTGGTTTTTTTGACTTGGTTTAATTCTTTTCCCTTGCTTGTTTCCAAAAATCTTCTAAAAGCAAAAACAAACATACTAAATTGTGGCTGCAGGATACCTAATTAAAAGCAAGTGCACATATATGAATAACATCTATTGGATGTTGGGCTGGGGAAGGGGGATGGGGAGGAGGGGATGGGTATATGCATACACAAAGAGTGCAATGCACACCATCCGAGGGATGGACACACTTGAAACTCGGACTTGGGGGGGAGGGAGGGCAACATACGTAACCTAAACATCTGTACCCCCATAATATGCTGAAATAAAAAAAAAAGCCATTAGGGTGGTCGCCACCATCTAAAACACCAGTCTAAACTCCCGACATTCAGTGATGAGATTTATAGAATTTTCTTGCTCGTAAGAGATTAATAAGAAATGGAATGAGATTTTCAAACATTAAGGAATGACAAATTTTGTGGGACTCCAGATGGCTACTTATTATGGCCCATTCTTGTGCATGTTTTTAAACTTATGGGCAAACTGACATCAAGGAAAATTTGGAGCCCAAATGGTCATTATTTGTACTCTCTAAAAAGGCCTGCAACTATACAGTTAACATGTAGAGCTTTCTAAGTCTTCTATGTCTATATATTATTTTCTTTGCCTAGTTTGAATGTGCTCACTTTTCTATTGGTGTTGACATAAAATTCACTTCTTATGACATTCCACCCAAGATTTTTTAAAAAAAGTCTTAAAGCGCTTTTGAATTAATTAATGGCTCTACAAATTGCATTAGCTCCATAGTAACCAACAACCCAGACACCTTTAAGAAATGTAAACTTAGGTTTGCCCGACTAACAATTGCTTACAGTAATAAAACATACAATTGAAAAATTAATAATCTAAAAAAAGAACCAGATAAATGTCTATAAAAGGTAGTCTCTGAGATCCAACAGGTTAAAATTTTGAGTAATATAAGGTATCTCTCTGTCATAAAAATTTTCTTTTTTCTGCCATTCAGTGGTAAAAAAACCCCACAAAACAAACAAACAAACAAATGAAACACCCTATTAAAATTCTTCTCTGCCTGCATTTGCTAATCAAACAAACCGGAAGAGCAAACAAAAGATAGATTCGGTACTAGTTCAAGACTGGTTGGAGATTTTGTTTTTCTTATACTATTAAGCCAGTACTAGGATAATGTAAATAATTGCAATGTTAACCCTAAACACATTTGAAACTGAAAAAAAGGGGAGAAAAGTGTGAAAGAATTTTTTTTAAATTGAATTGCCATAAAAACTACTATATCCAAAATTTTGCTCCACAGCTTCCATTAGATTACTTATCAAGAGAAATAAAGTTTAGCCATGTCAACAAGTCTCAATTTTGTCAGAAATATAATTTGAATCCAACTGTCTTTTATAAGCCAGTGAGTTTGTATTACTCTCTTACTGTATTACTGACTAAAATTCTAAAATGAAAGCTGGAAGATCTTTGTGTGTGTATGTGTGTTTAGGTGTATTATGTACAACACATATGAATTATGTTGTATGTTGTGTCTACATGGTAAAATCTGGTATAGTTGGCCAAAATTCCCTTAAGGAGTTCTATTTGAATCAGCTTAGATAAATGAACACTCATATATCTTTAACATGAATTAAGCAACTTATCTAAAATCCTCAGCAACACCATCCTCTTAACAGAATTCAGAACTGTCTGTCACAGAATCTTTTATGTTAGTATATGGATTCCCAGGTTGTAGATTCCTGCAAACCCTCAGGATTTCATAGTTTGGGAGAATAACTAACAGGACAATTAAATAAAATTCTGTGTTGACAAATCAGGGATTATTATTGAGATGGAGAAAAAATTTTGGTAGTCTATGATTCCCTGGTGAAAAATGTAATTAGTCATAATTTTAATTATCTTTCTCTATTGAGCTGTGTCAAAGCTAAACTAAAATATGTATACATATACATTACATATGCTATAAATAGTCATATGTACACTTCTGCATTGTACCTCTTGAGATGCTCCAGCAGTGAGATTCTATCTCCTTTTCTAGCCTGAATGGTTTTCTCTACCTCTACTAAAGCAGGAATTCTTAATTTGGGTCCATTGATCACTAGGGAGAACCTAGATGGGCTTCAGGGAGTTGAAGATTCCCCCAAAGAATGGGCCTGGAACGTCTTGTTTGTGTGCTGATCTGTTCAAGAGCATCTGTTGGATTCTCATTAGGATCCATGGTTCAGAGTCATTGAGCTACAGGCCTCAGATCCGCATCACCCAAAATGAGAACCTTCTAGAATGTGTTGACACTTCCTATAATGGATTTTACCAGAAAAATTTGGACAACAAAGGGTCAACTAGATAAAATTTCTTTTAGAGCACTTTAGCTCTTTGACTTTCTAGACTTGACTACTAAAAATAGTTGTCAGTTGGACACTATAAACATTCCAATTCTACTTTTCAGTGATTTTAATGTATACCATAATTCACTGTTGACTGTAGTCACTTTGTTGTGTTATCAAAAATTGTTCATTCTATCTAATTTTCTAACTATATTTTATACCCATCAACCATCCCCACCTTAACCCTCCTTCCATGCTACTCTTTCCATCCTCTGTTAACCATCATTCTACTCTCCGTCTTTGATTTTTTTTTTTTATTTCAGCATATTATGGGGGACAGATGTTTAGGTTATGTATGTTTTCCCTACCCCCCTCCTCCCCCCAAGTCAGAGCTTCAAGTGTGTCCATCCCCCAGATGGTGCGCATTGCACTCATTATGTATACATATACCTCCCCCCTCCCACCTGCCCGACACCCAATAAATGTTATTCTTATATGTGCACTTATGTGTTGATCAGTGAAACCAATTTGCTGGTGAGTACATGTGGTGCTTGTTTTTCCATTCTTGGGATACTTCACTTAGTAGAATGTGTTCCAGCTCTATCCAGGAGAATACAATAGGTGCTAGATCACCATTGTTTCTTATGGCTGAATAGTACTCCATGGTATACATATACCACATTTTATTAATCCACTCATGTATCGAGGGGCACTTGGGTTGTTTCCACATCTTTGCAATTGTGAATTGTGCTGCTATAAACATTTGAGTGCAGATGTCTTTTTTATAGAATGTCTTTTGTTCTTTTGGGTAGATGCCCAGTAATGGGATTGCTGGATCAAATGGTAGATCTACTTGTATCTCTTTAAGGTATCTCCATATTGCTTTCCACAGAGGTTGCACTAGTTTGCAGTCCCACCAGCAGTGTATGAGTGCTCCTATCTCTCCGCATCCACGCCAACATTTATTGTTTTGGGACTTCATTTTGAAGCTCAGAATGTCACGATTTGGATATAAGTTCACCCCTATAAAATAAAGAGGAGCTATGTGAGTTATACAGTGAAACACAAAAATCATATCTAGGGGATCTTGACAGATTTTTTTCCTTACTGGAGAAACTTATGTAAGAGGCATATAAATTATAAGATCATGCCGATTTGGTCTAGTTTGTGTCAAGTTATTTCTTGGGTGCCTGTGGATCTTTGCGTTGGTACCTCTTGTGGGGAAAGGTATTTATAAAAATGCTTAGGATATTCTGTTAAGAGAAAGTGATGAATATCATTTAGTTACTAATAGTAAGAACATATTAAAACTGATTTAGCACATTCGTTCCTATTTCTAGGAACCAGGTAGATACTATTCTGTGTGTATCAGTCAGCCAAATATTCTTAGGCTAAAGAAGTGGACTGTTCTGTCACTTTATGAAGGTAGAGGAGAATTTGGGGGCTTCAGTTTTATGTTTGTTTTTAATTTAAAGTAACATGAAATTCAATCCAAATACATATAGTTTGTATTCTGATTTATTCTCCTAAATTTTCCTAATTTTCTTATTTTAGGTCTCTTGAACTGTCATGTATCAAGGGTGGAAACTTTAACTTGCATCATAAGAATCCTTGATCACGATGAAACGCAATGACGGCTCTGCTTGAAATACGAGTGACCTGACCTAAAATTGTCTTTGCTTCTCCTTAGAAGGAGATAATCTTGATTTATTTGAAGAGTTTATTCAGAGCCTCTTTCACATCCTTATTCCTCAGACTGTAGATCATGGGGTTCAGCATGGGGAACAGCACGGTGTAAAATGTAGAAACTATTTTGTCCCTATCAAAAGAATAGCTAGATCGGGGGCGAGAGTAGATGTAGAGAATGGAGCCATAGTATAAGGTAACAGAGATCAGGTGGGAGGAACACGTGGAGAAGGCTTTGAGGCGGCCCTGGGTGGAGCGGATCCTCAAAACGGTGGCGATGATGAAGAGGTAGGAGGTGAGGATGAGCGCAGCGGGGCTGATCACGTTGGAGGCCAGGAGGAAGTACATCAGAACCCGATAGCCATCCTTCCTGCCACAGGCCAGCTTCACCAGGGGAAGCAAATCACAGAAAAAGTCATCAATAATGTTATCACTGCAGAAGTTAAAGGAAAACGTTCTTTTGGTGATGATTAAAGAGTTAATAAACCCACCAAGATAAGAGGCTGTGACCAAAAATGCACACAGTTTTCTGGGCATGGCCTGAGCATAGAGCAGGGGGTTGGAGATGGCCACATAGCGGTCATAAGCCATGGCAGCCAGCAGGTAGCACTCACTATAGGCCAGCCCTGCAGAGAAGAAGAACTGGCACAGGCAGCCAGCAAAGGAGATGCTTTTGTCTTCAGAGATGCAGGTCACTAGGATCTTTGGAGTGTAGACAGAGGAATACCAGAGATCCAGAAAAGACAGATTTCCAATGAAAAAATACATAGGTGTGTGGAGACGGGAGTCATTACAGATCAGCACTATGAGGGTGCTATTTCCAACCAGGGTCAGAGAGTACACCCCGAGGAACACCACGAACAGGACGAGCTGCATCACTGGGTCTGTCGTGAAGCCCAGCAGGAGGAACTCAGTCACTGTGTGATTGCTCCTCTCCATGGCTGCAGGAATCTCACCTAAGAGAAGAGAAAATGAGAGTTTGGTTTGAATCACTGTGCTGAATAAATAGAATGTATGCTACGTAGTATCACATCGCTGATAATCCTAGAAGTCTAGGACCAACCATGTAGAACAAAATATTTTGTTTATGTTCAAAATATTTGCACTCACTGTTCATTCTGCTTATAATTTTCTTTTAGTCCCTTTAGTTGCTCAAAAATACATCACCTTTTCAATCTGGTCTTCCTGGACCACTCTCATCACCCCCCCACCCCCCGACACACACACACACTCTTTACCCTCCTTTCCTGATTTATTCTTCTCCGGAGCACTGTTCCTTTGGCTCAACATGTAATTGATTCACTTTTCTTATTTGCTGTCTATTGCCACCATCAGGATACCAGGCTGAGAAGGGCATGTTTTATAGCTTGTTTTGTTCTCTGGAGGATGTGACTACTTAAAACAGTATCTGGCACAGAGTAGACACAAGTAATATAATATTTGATAAATGGATGGACCTCTGTATTCTCAAGATGAATGTCAATCAAATCCAATCCACATTCTGGTCTGCTTTAATGATGGCATTTAACCTCTAAAAGAATTGTTTGCTATCCCTCGTTACTGGCCATAACTAGAAATATCAGACTATCCTGTACTCTTCACAAGCAGGTGCAAGAAAAATAAGGAAGGAGTAGTCAACAGAATACAAAGTGTGACCACTGAAATATACAGACAAATTACATTTCAAAATAAAGTATGTTTGTGAAGGAGGTTAGTTCCATTCGAGCAGCAAATTGTCTTTCATGTCGAAGAGCTATTAGGAACCACGTCCTCAAAATCAGAGGTGGCGGTGATGAGGGAGCAGGCAAACTAAAGACAGCGCTGATCTTTCAGGCTGCTGACATAACTTCTAGTTCTATCTTGATGTTTCTCAGCTGTCAGAAGATCTTATGCAAATTACTTAATTTCGTTAAGTCTCCATTGCCTCACTTGTAAAATAATAACAGTAACGGCTAGATAGGGCTGTTGTAAAAATTCAAAGATATAATGTTCTTAAGCAACTTATTGGAGGGCTTTACACATGGAAAACATTCAATAAGTCAGAGGTCTTCTAATTCAGAGAATACAAACACCCCTCAGCATATTGCTAAAGTTGTAACTTCCTGAGCTTCATCCCCAAGAGATTCAAATTTAGCAGGTCAGGGGTCCAGGGCAGCACTTTTCCCTCAAGTAGCCCAAGTGATTCTGATGCAAACTGACTTCATGTGATACTTTGAGAAATGCTGTGACATTGGCCTTTGCTACTAGAATGACAGTGGTCCTACTTTATAGATACGTGAAGATTAAATAAAGACATGTATACACAAAAGTATTTTGCAGAAAAGTATACAATAATTTTGAAAGGCAACATGAACTGCTTGGCATGAGATGTAGCGTTAAACAGACCTGGGTTGCATTCTGATTCCAATGATTTAGAGCTTGGTCAGCTTTGAAAACTTAGTCCTCCGGAAAATCAATGTCATCGTGTGTAACGTAATGCACTTCTCATCTGTAATAACAAATTCCTACAAGATTGCACAGGGATTTAATAGAGATAATGTTTTTGTATATAAGGAAGTTAGAGTATCTGACTTCCAGTAATAGATATTATGTGCTGAGCATTTGATGTTGTATCAATTATTATTGTCATATGATCATACAGTGGTAGAATTTACTATGCAAAAGAGTAAAGGTGGTCAAACTCCTGGCAATACTGCCCCTTTTGACCTTTGATATTTTCCTCCGGTACTCAGTCCTACTTCTCTTTGGCCCATAGCTTTCTTGTTGACTCTAAAGTTTTCATAATGCTGAAATGAAATGACTTTATTTCTATCTTATGTTTCATTTCTTTAAAAATAACAATGAATGTTTTGAGGCCACTAATATCTTTAAGAACCTGAACTCTGTGGATATTCTCATTAGAAAAATCTCCAATACACAACAAAAACACTCACAAGCAAACTATTTCACATGTTTTCATGATTTTTTTTCTTGAGGCTTAAACATAAGCACTAGGTCACTGTTTAAAGTTTTGTCTTAAAAAAGGAATTCTCTTCTGGCCAATTTCACTCAGAGATTATGACAAAAATGACTGTCACAGTAAGCTGTTATCTGACATTCTTTTTAAATGCACCTTTTGTCTTCCTGCTTTCTGAGAAACAAATAAATCAAAAAAAGAAACACTCTATAGTTTATTTCTGGCATGATTATGCAAAGTCTGTCTTCATAGGGGTCTCGAGATATTCACAAAACCTTATTCCTTTGGTAAATGTTCCTCAGTGGCCTCCCTTTTAGTTATTGTGTCAATTGTATTCTTTTATTTTCCATCCTTTCTTTTAACATAAATTGTCCTTTCTCACTATAACTAATAGGTGAAGTTAAGTCTCCCTTTTTACTCTCAGCAGTTTCAGAACTTGCAATAGAAGGTTGACGGGGTATGAAAATGAGGCTTTGCAGTTCCTGTAATATAACAATGTAATTGGACATTGAGTTATTATGGGAATAAAGCAAAATTTCTACCCCCCCCAGTAATAACTGAATTAAGCAACTTACCCAAATTCACAGCAACACCTCATTTTAACATTCAAATAGCTAGTTCCAGAATCTTTTATAACAGCGATTAGATCCCACGGGTTTAATACTCACTGAATTCCTCATGGTTTTGTAGCTTGAGGGACTGGAAACAAGGCAATTAACCAGAAATATGCATCGGTGACATTGAGTCATCCTTATTTAATGGAACTGAGAAAGGTTTTGTTTAGAGAATGTGATTCCCCAGTGGTAGATGTATTTGGTCAAAATTTTACTTCACGAACCATGTATATTCTGTATTACTTTTGCTGAATGCAAATTTTATATATGTGTGTTTGTGTGTGTGTGTGTGTATCTCCGACATTTGCATTTATACAGGTGCATCTGAATACTGATGTACACATAGATGCTAGTATTTCTGTGGCATGTTCGATAACTTCCACTTCCCCTTCATGATCGACTGCCATTCTTTTCCATCTGATCTCTGCACCCAGAGTCAAACCTGTGTGAACTGTATCAAGTAATGTGATCAATGTGGGTGGGAATTGAAAAAAGAAAAAAGACTGAAGTCAAAGCACTTATTTGCAGGCTCTTTCCATTTAGGGCAATTGAAGGCCACATTCATCTCCAGATCAGTGCCAAAGCGGCCACTCAGTTGCGAATGTCACATAATCTTTCTCTCTCGTTGTGATAACTGCTCTTTCCTCTTCTCCCTTCAGGCCTAGATGTTGTAAGACTCTGAGACAGAAGACTAGTCTATGCTTTGTAGTTTTTCAATACTCTTTTCACATTTTTGTAAATAGTACCTTTATTAAATTTTCCTTAAATTTCCTGGTTTGTGTGGGCTGTTTCCTGGCAGGATTCTGACTGATATGGTAACGGATATTAGGAGCAGCCCTAGACTCAAATCCTGAAACTGGGTTTCTGAGATTAGTTTGCTCACATATTTAAAGAATGTGTAGATATCTGCTGCCTAGGATTTAAATTACCACCAGTGGTGTTGTGTCATGAATTGCAGGTGTAGGGCAAGGCCCTGAAAGATCAATTAATTGTGGCATTAATTGTGACCATGATAATATTGATTATGAAATCTGCAGGGTTTTATTTGAAAACTGTGAATGGCCCACATGGAAGGGTATTTGAGAAGCACCGACTTCAGCTTTGAAGGAATTTCTTATCACCTGTATTCTTTTAGGAGTGATCTGGTTGAAGTCGGAGCCAGGGCCTGGTTGTAAGCAATGCAGAGAAGCATTACCAATTAGATGCTAAACATTGCCAGAGATTCTATGATAAGCTAAAAAAAAATGGTGGAGGGAGGAATTGGGACCATAAAATATGGGATAGGGACATTGGGCAGCCAAGGAGAGGGCTAACAAAAAAATCCTTGTCTGCAGAGGCAATCCCTAACTTCCTCCCAAAAGAGGAACTAACTAGCTTTCCCCCTGGACAAGTCTTCTAGTTGACTGCACTTAGGGTGTTGCCTCATAAGCTGATATAATTCTCAACACACAGCCCCACCACTCCACGTTGCCTCTGTAGTGAAGGTTAAGTATTAATATTATTACCACAGATGAAGAAATCCAAGAACTTCTCTTATGGGAAAAATGCCCTAAAAGAATTATGGAATCTTATCAAACTTTATTAGCAGGAGTCTAGGAAGCATGTATGAGATTGGATTCTAAGGGTGGGAAATCAAGGAGAACGAAATGCAAGGATTAATCAAGCCCAATTTATCAACACAAGTACACCCACATAGGATTCAGAATCTTTTTTTTTTTTTCTTTCCTCAAGTTCCTGGAGGAGCTTAACATCCAAATCTGTTAGATTGTCTCTCTAGTTTTTATCAGCAAAGATAGCCAGAAGCTTTTGTTTTTCATATACCAGAGACAATAGCATACCTTTACTTTCTTTCGTCAGGATATGTGGATCTTTTGTTCTGTCATTACATAGTCTGGAGGGTCTTTGATTGTCTCCATACTTTACAGAACATCATGGGAAGTGGCTAAGAGGTTGGTGTGTTGGCCATGTACTTGGGAAAACTAAAAGAATGTTGGAAAATTGGTAACAAGAAAATATGGGGAGGAGGTATGCATGTAGGTGGTATTCTCAGCAGAGGCATAGAATGGAAGTTAACATTGTTACATTTTGTGATTACTGTTGCTCCTTATTCCCATTCATCAATCCTGATAATTATCTCCCATTCTTTGTAGAGCTCTTAATTTTGTTGAGACTATCTGGGAAACACAGTTTTAACATTTATTATTTATTGTTCATATCAATAAAATATGGGCATATCTATATTTATTTGAATTTCTATGTATTTCTACATGCCATGTACATATGAAATCATATCACTGTCTTAATGTTAAAATCCAATCAGCATGGAACAATCTATTGTATTTACCCTCTTTTGTTGTATCAATACTTTC